AGTTTCATTTAGTTATAATTAAACAAACAGTATTACTATCTTTACCTGTACTGCCCAAAAAGTTTTTTGATTGTGAACATATATTGCATACACTATACTGGGGTTTATTGGATCTAGCGATAGCTTCATAATCATCATCAGAAGTATCTTCTAGATTATCACTATCAGAGTCATCTGGATTATCACTATTGGGGTTATCTGGATTTTTGTTATCGGGGGCATTCTGGTTAGCAGAGTCATCCTGGTTAGCAGAGTCATCCTGGTTAACAGAGGCATCCTGGTTAGCAGGAGCATTCTAGTTAACAGGAGCATCCTGGTTAACAGGGGCATCCTGGTTAGTGAGGTCATCCTGGTTAGTAGGGCATTCTGGTTAGTGGGTCATCCTGATTAGCAGGGGCATTCTGGTTAGCAGTGGTATCCTGGTTAGCAGGAGCATCCTGGTTAGCAGTGGCATTCTAGTTAGCGGGGACATCCTAGTTAGCAGTGGCATCCTGGTTAGTAGATGCATCCTGGTTAGCAGTGGCATCCTGGTTAGTAGGAGCATCCTGGTTAGCAGGAGCATCCTGGTTAGCAATAGCATCTGGGTTAGCAGTGGCATCTGGGTTAGCAGTAGCATTCGAGTTAGCAGTGGCATCCAGGTTAGCAGTGGCATCTGGGTTAGTAAAGTCATCCGGGTTAGTGGAGTTATTCGAATTAGTGAGATCATCCGGATTAGTGGAGTCATCCAGGTTAGTGGGGTCATCTGAGTTAGTGTAGTCATCCGAGTTAATGAGGTTATCTGAGTTATCTGAATTAGAGGTATCACTATCATTATCGGATGTGGGACATCGTGATTAAAATATGATCTGAATAGCATCCAATTTGGTGTATCTGAGTTTGGAGTTGTGTGATGATCTACTAATCTTGGAGTATTTGCCCACCAATATTTTTTGCATTTTTTTTTATAGTAGATACTTTTTCCGCTGACCATAAAATATTTTTTAACTATAAGTCAATTAACAAAAAATTCTTTTTTAAAAAAATTATATATACATATACAAGCATT